CCCCCTCCCCCCAAAAAAACCAAAAACCAAAACCCTGCATTTCAATTCCTGCCTTTTATCATTACTTAGCCCAAAAGGATGATGTTTCCCTGGTAACACTTATAATGCTCCCACCTCTTTTCATCCTTCCTGTTATAATCAGGAAGGAGTAGCATAAGTGAAAGGACATTTGCTGCTAGTATTTGATTTTTTTTTACCATGGTTAAGTAATGTCCCCACACTTTGTATACTTATCAAGTTCCACATCCCATAGGATGGCTCCATGTGAGAGAATTTTGTCCGGACCTAATTTAGTTTTTCTTAATAGTAGAATTTTCATTCTAGTTCCCTAAGTTTCATTTTTGCTTTTCTCCATATTTACTGTTAATATTTGTGTTTTACTGACCTCTTTTAAATTTACATTCCAAATTTAGATTAACAGCTTTTATTAACATCATTTTCAGTTAACTTTTAAGAAGTTTCTAAGTGAAACTGAATCTAACAGAACTTGATTCTTTAAAAGTGGATTCATGCTTTTATTTTTTGTTTTATGGTGGTTTTAAGTACAAATCAATTTCCATAAATTTACTTGGTAATTGTTAGTGATAAATTACATTATTTTGTTAAAATATGAATAAATTTTACTATTGTCACTTCAGCAATTTTGGATTTTTATCTATAAACTTAACATTTGTCTAGGTTTATATAACGTCTTTTTTTATAAGTATGTGCCACCTATTAAAAGTGGTATTCCCCTAAATATTTATGAAATATGTATCTTTATTCAGATTTTTTGTTTAATATATATTGACAAGTGATTATTCATGCATACTTTTCTTCCTTTCTGCTGTTAGTGTCTTGGGTTTGAGAGTATTCCTATTTTCTAAATACTTAAATTGAGTGTAAGTTAGCTAATTCCTGAAATATGTCTTATCCTAGCTTTGATATTTGTCTTCTCAAATATTAATACATTCTGATTTCACATATTTAGGTTTTTGATCTTTTGCAAGTTTGAGAGAAGTCTAATACTTTTGTAACTAAGACTGCAGAATGAAGTCTTTGCTTATAAAAATGATTACCTTAGGGGCCTACTGAATGGCTCAGTTGGTTGAGCTCACTCAAGAGTTTGAACTCTGAGCAACAGGGTTCGATTCCCCGCCTGAGTTGAGCTGTTGCTGAGCTGCCAACAGGTTGGCAGGATGGCTCAGCTAAAAAAAAAAAAAAAGATTACCTCATTTGGTGCTACTTAGATAATATTTCTTTTATGAAATTAATTTTTTTCTTTGATAGTGATTTCAATTGTGAATGTCCCCAGTGTAGGCTTTTAATATAGAATGGCCTCATAATCTATCTCACAGGTTGTTGTCAGGTTTCTAAAGTATTTGAAAACATTTTAATATATAGACATAAAGTGATTAAGTGAATGTTTAACAGTTTTTACCAGACATATATCTGAAAGTCTGTCTTATTGACTGATCTTTTGGGGGCTTTATAGATCAACTTTCCAAGCTTATTGTTCATTTCTGCAATCCAGTATGTAGATTAATGTTGAGGTATTTAATACTTTTTTTTACTTTTTTTTTTGAGATACTTAAAAAATAGTGTTGGTTCTTGTACCATTCATTGTTATGTTTGTCCTCATTAGTTGATTGTTGTGTGTTAAAAAGACATTCCTGGAGCTTATTCTCCACACTCTGTGAATCCACTCATTAATCACCAGTCACCTTTGGAGATGGGAAAATTACTTACCTGTATTTCTTTTTCTCAGAAAGCGTGCTCTGGAATGGATTCACAAATGAGCTACCCTCCTTCCCTCAAAGAGTAAGGTTTCTGCTTTACAGGATTTTTTTCTTGGGTTATTTTTCCTCTCATCTTTTGAATTTGAAAAGAACTGAGGGAAGGCACCTGAAGAAACTTCTGACATACTCACTAGGGGAGTTCCAAAGCTTGTGCTGTCCCTAGGGGCAGTGTCAATGGCTCTTAAAGCTAGAAAGCTCATACTTGGAGTTGAAACAGGGGCTCAAAGAATCCATTTTCCCAGTGTACCTTCTGAAAGGATAAGTTTCAGGTAAGTAATTTTCTCTTACTATGCGATATGTTTTATTCATACTTATAATAAAGTACACAAGTCCAGTTCTCAGGTGTGTTAGTTCAGTTTGGGCACATAAGCTTTATTGAATGTTAGAAATATTGTCAAATAAAACATGTCTGCTCATGAGGTACATGAAATCAATATATTTTAAATCAACAATAAATATTTAAAGGGGCATTTATGATCAGAGTATGGTGCTAGAGTTGGCATTTCTTTTATTCCTTATTAAATAAAATCTTGAAAAACTTATTTTTTTTAGTAATTAGAAACAAAAAAAGATCTTTTGAACTCAAATTCCAAGTGGTGCTTAACTAAAGTGTGTGTGTTTAAGCGCATGTAGGCACACACATACATACATCTACACATACATACATACGGCTAAGATGGTGACAGTTATTTACTTCAGATTAGATGCTTTCTGTATGTATGTTGATTAGAATGAATTACTCAGGTAATTTAAATATTTGTGCAATTAAAAAAATGATTGTGAGACAGTTTGAGCTATTATAAGTGAGATTTTTTTCAGTGTAAGCTGTATGTAGTGTGATTTAGCTTAATGATAGATTCTTTAGTGCTCATCAAATATTTCTACTCTGTTCCTTAGCTACTAAATGCAAGGTAGCTACTAGAGAGTAGCAAAAAATAGTTGGCAAAATATTAAACCCTGGCTCATTGACTTTCTATGTGCTTTATCTTATTAAATCACATGTCGATTTAGTCTTTTAAAATTTCAGACATTCTGTATACTTTTCTCTTACTTCAAAAGTAGTTTTTAAGTGAGATTTACATTGAAAATGATCCATATGAACAAGACAGCATTTTAAAACAATTACACTTTTCACTTAGGATTAAAGCAGTCATTTGAAACAGCAGCTCTGAACTTGGAAATAAGCAAAAAAGACTTCTGAATAACAAATGACAGTCACAAAGTACATACAGTTTTCTCTGCACCCGATAGTAGCAGTCTTCAGAAAAGACAGTTACGTTCTAGTCACAGGGATTATTGACAGCTAAAACTAACAACTATCTCCCAAAGGAAGAAAAAGGGAATGCATTCATATATGTCTGATGCAGTTCAGGTTCAAAGAATATTTATCTTGATTTCTTCCAAGAATATTACTCTTATTACATTGATATTGAGTCAGAATTTTCTTATCTAGGATAATTCATTAATTGTTCATTCAAAGATTTTGGGCAGTTTTATGAGAAGAACTTTGAATTTGAAGTAGAAATTAATACCAATGATTTGAATTAGTAAATTGTGACAGACTTTAGATTTGGCTTTGAGCCTTCTGACAGTCACCAGGCTAATAGGAAAACTGGGGTCAATTATATAGTTCTCATTATTAGGTAGGAGTAAGTACATAAATTCTTTAAAGACAAACAAATCTATACCTAACCCTAAATTTTGAAAGAAATGTCTGATGAATTATTTAATATAGGGGCACTGAGTGATGAATTGTCACTGTTTAAGAATGTTTTTACTGCAAGGACTGTATTGGATCTCAGTATTTACCAAAAAAGGTATTTATATTCAGAAAGCAGATAGTTGTCTCAGAACTATATTGCTTGATTCTAGGATATCATGAATTATACATTGCAATATTGATTAAATAATGGCTCTTGGGGCGGGGGGAATAAGAACTTCCACATTGAGTAATTGTACATAGTAGTGTATGTGAAAAGTTAAAATATGACAGTTAAGGAAATATGTATATTGTAGAAGGGTGACCAACATAGATGATAATTATGAACAAGTAAATGAAGTGTTAAGAACTGTGATGTGTGGCTTTTCCAAAAAGACATCAAAAGAGTTTTATAATTTTGCACTGCTTCTTATTTATAAGGTGATACTTTTTAGTAAGATAAACAGAAAACCTAAACATTGTGATTATCCAGCCAAAGAAACCCATCTTCTGAGGTGTCAGGATAATAATTGGATATGTGAAGTGTATATGAAGCAGAAGACACATAGTGCATATATGATTGGTGTACTATAATACGTTTAGAAAAGCATTTTGGTGAAGTTTTTTAAATAAGGAAATGTAAAAGTAGTGAGTTCTTGGAACTAAAGAGGCATTGCTGAAAGAAAAGTTTAGATGTATCTGAAATGCAACATAATCAGTTTAATAACAATCCACAATGAGTTATGAATATGTTTATTGGTTTTCCTATGACTATAGTAGGAAGCAAAATTTAGTGTCTGAATCTTTTGTTTTCTGTCTTCTTTTTGAGCTTCTTCCATTTTACCCTCTCTATTCTTTGGAGAACAGCTAAACATTGAATGTTCTGTGCTTGTATCCTTATTGAGATTTTATTGTCAGAGTAGGACTATTTATCTTTTGTGAATCCCATTTTAAGGCACTTGTATTGATCCTTTTCCAAGTAGAAAGTTTTGTAAAGATGAGATAAAAATTTTTGAGGTCATAAAAATCACAGAAGCCACATGTATCTTTGATCTACACTTTTTTTTTTCTGTAATAGAGATCAAATCTTTGCATTTGTACAACAAAAGCTAAACTTTCATTGATTTGTTACATTGAGACAGTTTCCTTAAACCAGATTTTCTTACATCGTATTCTTTGGGTTTACTCTCCATTATAGACTGATATAATATGTTTAACAATGCTTCTAACTTTTAAGCTGTTTTGTTTCCTTAGTCTTTTGTATTGCTCATGACTTTAAGGTTTTACAATTTGAAATAGTTTTTAACATCATAAGTATAAAGCACTGGTGACATATCATTTCTTTATTACCTTCCCAAATATGCCTTTTATTTTCATGTACAAGGGCTCTTGGGAATGATTCTCTCAGAGGCTTAAGCTGTGCCTTGCCTTCCATGAGAACTGAAATTATTTGGTAAGCGCTTGCTTTCTTTTTAGCTTCTAATTTTTCCCTATTTTATTTTGTACATGATATTTGTTTCAAGGTCAAAGGTTCCGTTACAGTTACTATGATGAATCCCAGGGGGAGATTTATAGATCCATTGAACATCTAGATAAAATGGTAAGTCTTTCAGGTGTGGGGTTTTAATGCTCTAAGGTTTTTTTGTTTAATTTCAGATTAGTGATTCAAGACTTAATATGTTGAAATATACAATGGACTAATAATTCTTTCCCTCCTCTTCAACTAAATGTACAAAATATCGTTTGTAATCATATGATTATCGATTATAAAAATAATCCCTGTTCAATTAGTAGAAATTTCCTTCATCTTAATTTTATTTGATTAATGAGACTACTTAAGAATAGTTAGATACAGCTTTTAGATACTGTTTGGGGGAGTGTGTTACTACAACAGGATACTACTGCCATTACTTACTGTTAAGTAGAAACAACCAGAGCAAATTTTTAGTTTTTATTATTTAATTCTATTTTTGGCCATTTAGATTTTTCTTAAATGGAATTTCAATTCGTTGTTTTAAATATGGAATTTTAAAATATTTTATTCTTATCTAACCCAGGAATACAGTAGACATTGATCTTGTCATTTTCTTTGAAGTAGTATGGTAGTCATAAAACTTCTTTTAATATTTAAAAAGCCATATAAATCATTTTGGTATCTACTCATAAATAGAATGGAATGTTAAACCTAGCAGATATATCATTAACTTGCTCTGACCTTTCACAAATCATTTCAATTCTCTAGTCCTCGATTTGTCATCTGTAAGATGAGAGACTTGGAGTAGATGGTCTCTAGATTGTCTTTAAATTCTGTGAGCCTTTAAGTCTGTGATCTGTTAAAATCAACTTTACCACTGTGCGAAAAGCTTTATGCATATGTTTTTGTATAGGAACACTCAGTCTATAGAAGATAAAACATTTTAGTAAGGAATCTGGATCTGAAACTATAGGTAGATTATATCACATAGTATATTTTATTAAAAACCAAATAGAATGAATGCAAATTTAGTTACTTAGGAGAATTTAAATTTATCTTGTTACTTTAAATCTAATTATGGCTTAACACTTTTATCTTTGGAATTTTGTCTGGATTTTAATTTACTCACTTTTCTTTTGGCTTTATTATGTCGTCATTTAATTCTTTTCTCACTTCTACTTCTTATTTTCCTGAAGTTTAGTTATCAGTTACCTAAGAACACTTTTCTGGTTTTTTCATCACTTATTTTTTTCAGATAGCAAATGGTTAATGGTTATCTACTGTGTTTCTGATCTTGTGTGAAGTATTGACAATATCAAGAAGAGAAAACATGGTCTCTGACTTCATAGAACTGACAGTCTAGTCTTCAAACAGACTTAGAATGAAGTTATTAAACATAGAGATGTAAGAAATACGTAGGAGGTAGTGTAGACACACTGATTTCCTTACTGTTCCTCGATAATGCCATATATATGCTTAACTTAAGGCTTTTGCCCTGACTGTCTCACTTACCTTATGGCTTGGCTCACCTTCCACCTTCCCAATAAGGCCTGCTGACCACCCCATTAAATTTTGCATCTTACACGCTCCACACTTTCAGCGTTTCCCAATACACTTTACCTTGAAACGCTCTACTTTTTCTTCTAACAAATTAAATATTTTACATATTTATTACAGTTTTGTTAGGGTATTTGTTTTGTTCACTGATGTATCCAGAGTACTTAGAATAGTGATTAGAACATAAGTAGGTGCTTAATAAATATTTTTCAAATGAATGAATTAGTGAATATAATCTTCATAGATCCATTAAATGAATGTCCTAATGTAATATGAGAAGGAAATAAAAGGAAAATAATATATATTTAGTAATGTAAATACCCAAGCACAACTCTATTAGAAGACACAGTGAAGTAGTTACATGCTTGCACACATAGTATCATTAACGTAACAGCTACAAATGCAAACTGTATAGTTATTTTGTATTTGACTCACATTACTAAGTAGCATTGCTGGGTGTCTTGATTTTCCAAAATGGTGATCGATTCTTAGTAAAGTTGTAAACTAAACAAAGTATACAGTGTTTCTTTGCGAGAAAGTTCCTTTCCTGGGAAATCTGTATATTAAAGTCATGCAAAACTTCTTATTTGTATGTAAAATGGATTTAGGTATATATAATTACAAGCAGGTTTTCCCTCTTCATGAACATGTAAAAGTGTCATGGGATGAGAACAGTTCTTTGTGTGTGGGACTGTCCTATGTTGCAGACAGTCAGCATCCCTGGACTCCACTCGCTAAATTCCCCAATAGCCCCTTTAATTATTGGGACAACCCAAAAATGTGCCCATAATTTTTCATTATGCTTCTATGGTGAACAGTTGTTCTATGACCTTATCCTACTTTATTTTGCTTTTTAGTACTTTGTTGAATGAACTGCTGGATGAATAGATGGGGGAATGGTGAGAAATGAAGCTAAAGAATCTAGAACAGGCTATTTAAAGGATATTAAATAGGAAAGTGATTCAATCAGATTGTATTTGATTGCTGCAGCGTAGCAAATTGGTTGGAGGGAAGCCAGAGGAGAAATGAGAAACTAGTTGGGTAAGTCAGGTGAGAAGTGGTAATTTGGACAGTGGATGGTGATGGTGGAAGAGAGGGCAGCGTGGATGTATTCAGTATATTTAAAAGACAAATTTATGACAGGAGTTGGAGATCAAGTATACTTGGTGGCGAAGGAAGGATGAAGGATGGCTCCTAAATATCTGGCTTATGCTTCAAGTTCGGTGTTGCTCTTCACTTAGGTCAGAAGCACAAGAAGATAGCACCAGATGTTTTAGGAGGCAGGAAGGTCATAAACCCTATTAACGATATGTTATATATGCGTTAGTCCTGAACACATCCAAATGGAGATGTCAGTCAAGTAGGCATTTGGATTTTCATCTTGCAACTTATGTTTGAGTGCATTTACAATCCTAGGCACTGGTGGAGATATGGCAGTAAACAAGCAGACTTGAACTCAGGAATTTTATTCTTATAGGAAGGAGATACACATTGTTTTAAAAAAAGTAAGGCTGTGTGTAAGTTGATTTCTAATAGTGATGTGTGCTATATAGAAAAGATTAAAAGGGTTTTTGAGATAGTGAATGATTTGAGGGTGATTGGAGAAAGACTTCCCTGAGGAGGAACATTAAGTTGCGATATAAGTGATAAGAAAGAGCATAAACGAAGTAAAGATCAGAGGGAAGAGCATTCTAGACCGAAAGGAACTGCCAATATAAAGACCTTAAGATGGAAAAGAGTCTGGTGTGTTAGAAGAAAAGAAAAGGCCAGTGTAGCAGGAGTCCCGCAGATGAGGGTAGGAATGGTACAAGCCGTGATTAAAGAGGTAGGCATGGATCAGATAATGAAGGGCTTTATATTTCAGGGACAAAATTATGTCAGTGCAATGGGAAGTGAGATGATACAATTTACGTTCCTTTAAAGGTTACTCTGGCTGTTGAAGAGAAGAGGTTCTACAGCAGGGCAGAGGAGGAAAGTAACAACGGGCATTGGCCACAGTTTAGGGAGAGAGGCTAGGCGGTAATTAAAGCCAGGGCAGAGACGAGATTGTCTACTCTAGTAATCATCAGCCCTGTTTTTACAGCTGAAATAATTTGTGGAAATTTTTCAAAATAGACTTGCTCATACCCGCCCCTGGAGATCCCCTTTCAGTAGTATGGAAAGAGTCCCAACATTGTCATTTCTAAATTAGCTTCGTAGGTAAATGTGAACTGGCCCACTATGGCCTCTGATCTGTTGAAGCAGAACAAAATTTCCTATTCATCATCTCTTCCCTTGTTTTCTATTCAACTCTTTAAATCATTTGTGAACTTCAATTAGACAACATTTAATTTTGCAAATGTAAGAATTTGTAAATCAGTGGTGTTTTTAGCACGCAGATGTTTCTCCAAAAAACATTGGCTTACCTGGTGCTCTGAAGTGAGTGAACATAACAACACCATTTGGAACTCTTTAGAATTGTGGTCGCATTTAAATACTTTAATAGTCTTTGTTGTTCTGTGTATGTGTTATATATAAACATCCATACTTAACAATTCTTTTAGCCTTTCTACTATGTTGATTGTTAATTTATATTAAGAGTACTAGCTTTATTTGTTTCTCTTGATGTATATGATCAGTTAGCTAAACCTTGGTTTCTTACTTTGAGGCAGGCAAAAAGAGTAACATTACCCATTGGCATAGTTCTCATAACTTCTCCTGAAATTGTTGCTTTTTCTGCTAGTTTCTAAGTCTTTAAAACTAGAAATTTTTGTTTAAAAATATGAGTAGAACCAGTGAGCTGTAGGTTGACTTCTAAATCTACATCTGATTTACTTTGCTTCAGATATCCAAAGTTACCAGAACATAACTTTAAAAATTAATAGTCTGGAATACAGTTTCTGAATAAATATTGAATATTTGCTTCATATTAATATACTTGATTTTAATATTTGGTATAACATTTGGAGTTCTTTTTTGTGGTCCATTTATTAAAACATTTCTATATGTAGAATTTTCAAATGTCTCTTAATTTCAAAATGTTCTTTTATTAGCATGCTGTTAATTCAAGTTATAAGTCAATTTGGGGAGTTAGAATAAATGCATTAAAATAATAAGAATGGTTAGCTCTATATACTCATGCATGTATGTTTTTATACATATATATGTACACTTACAGTTAGGCAGATTCTTACATAATGTGTTTTCCTAATTGATTTATATAACCAAATGGTGAATGTCCCTCTGTATATTCCTTTTCTAAGTGTAATTTTATGTTATAAATAATTTCATTCAAGAACCAATATCTTCGTTCTTATGTGCAATCCTTTAAGAGCAAATACAAGATGATGGTTCTCTGTATATTACAAAAATGTTAGCAATTCTGAATTATAGTAATTATGCATTTTGAAAGTTTGATATACTGAAAAGAAATTATTTTTAAGTATAAAATTTTAGATTTAACCTGTTCAAAATTAGTATGTTAATTAAATTTTGGTCCCTTTTTTTTGTTATCAGAAAAGTATTACTAAATGTAGTTATTAAAAAGCTAGAAAATAAATGACATTATTTCTAAGTTCCAAAAGAAAAAGAAAAATAGCTGTTCTTATTAGAAAATGTTTAGGGCCAGCCGAGTGGCGTTGGTTAAGAGCTGGCTTGGGACGCCAGAGTGCCCTGGTTCAGATCCCACATATGAGGGCCAGTGACACTGTCCTCTACAGCTAAGATGCTGAACAACAGCTCGACCTGGAGCTGGGCTGCTGTGAGTTGCCGTTGACAGCGTAGGCTGCAGCCCCTGCTGCAGTGGGTTGCCATGGGCTACTGTGTGTAGCCAGCAGCCACCGTGAGTGACCGTCCAGAAGCCGGGGACTGATCTGCCTCCCCCGGGAAGAGTGCAGTGATGGTGCCAACTTGGGCCAGTGAAGCAACGTCCTCCACAACTAGACTGTAGAACAAAAGGATAGCAACTTGTCTGTTCCCCTTTCCCCAATTCCTCAGCGCTGTTCTCATCCCCTAATTCCTCAATAAAAATCTTTTAAAAAACCCCAAAAAACAAAAACAGAAAATGTTTATATCTCTAGCATTTAAATATCTTGCAAATTTAATTATGTAAAATAAATACATAAAGAGAAAAAATATATAGGAGAACAAACTGGATCTTTCAAATATTGTAGTTGGGGGAAAATGTTACTAGTTATAGGAGATGTAGATTCTGAAAGTCATAATGTTATTAACTACTGACCATGTTTTTTAGTAACTAGAACTTTGCAATTTTAGTAGTGACAGTGACCAAAACAGAGCATATTTAAGACATTGATTTTTTGTTAACTTTTTAGATCACATACTTGAAACATTAGCCATACTTACACATATTTTATGTATATTAATGATCGTATGTTATTTTTTTCTTTATCACTTTTGATGTAGACCAGTGTTTCAATATTGGACATTGGCAAATTATGATTTGACATTGAGAATCTGGAAATGTCATTGCGTCATCCTTAGAAATTCTTTTCCTTCCACTTTTATTAGTAGTCATTTCATTTACTTTGAACTTCAACTGCTTTTCTTTCCTTCTGCCTCCTCTTTTAAAAGTGAAATTGTTCATATTTGTTCATATTTTTCTACTCATACTTCTTTCTCTTGAACCAATAGTCTTTAGTAGTTTTATAACATCATCTTTAGTTATTTAAGATAGTGATTTAAAATAGCTACATATCATCTTTAAGGTAGTGCATTACTTCTTAGTAGTGCTATCTTTAGGGTGATTTTTTTTTCCATAAATTTTTCACTATATGATTTTATCTCATTACCTCTTACAGAAACCAGAATATTATTTCTTTTTCTCATCTTACTTCCTGTGTACTCATCTCTAACATAAAAGTATATCCTTACTTAAAAAAATGAATCCTAATGACTTGATAATATGGTAATTAATTATGTGTTTATAATTAAAAGGCGCCATTCTAGGTCTTATTTCTTGAGGACCTCTAAAAAGGTTTTGCTAGTCTTTTGTGTTTGGTACTTTAGAGGGATATTACTTCTGGGTGATAGTATTTAAAATGAAATAAAGTTTAAATTAAATATTTTATTATATATAAACTTTTTAAAAAGAGAAAATCTTTGTTGTTTGATCAGAGTCTTGAATTTGCAGTTCTGTCAGTTCAAAGTGTCTGTTTAGAATTGCCTCTGGGATTTGACATTACACATTTTGACCCATCACTTGGCGAGTCAGCACATTGATAGGTACTATCTGTCCATGTCCCTTTCCAGGTAGAGAGTTAACTTTCAATCTGATTATTTCTTGCTGAAGCTGCTGAATTCCTCAGAAATCCAGATCATGATGCATAGGCTTTTGGTGTTTAGAAAGTCTGATTTGCATCTTCAGCTGAATGGGCAATGACCCACTTCACCGCTTTACAGTAGATTAGGTGCATGTGAACAAGTACTCAATGGACTAGGCTGTAGGCAAGCTTTCCATGGCCTGGACTTGAGAGTCACTGATCATATCTTCCAGTATTTTAAGGAATAGAAAAGTTAATTAGGAATATTTGAGAAGCATTTTCTTTTTCATCATCTTGGAATTTTGGCAATAGTATGTCAAGTTTGTGTTTTCGTTTTCTTGAATTTTGGTAGTAGTAATTTCAAAATTGTTAGCATCAAAACAAATATATACAAAGCATATTTGCCAGTCTTCTGTATTAATTAATGGATGTCCCATTTTGCAGTTTTATTATCATTATTGCTATTGTTTGTGTACTTCATGAATTTTCTACTTATAGAGGTTCACTCATGAGAAAAGCCTTAATTTTTGTTTCTATCCCCCCGTTATAAAAATGCATACGTCTTAACTATCATATTTGGTGGAGAATCGAGTGCAGTGAAATTGATTCTTCTAGGTACATAACACACTTTAGGGAATTACAATTTTAAATTTAATCCCTTAACTTCTATCATCTCAATTTTTTTATTTTCCCTGTTGTAATTTAACCATCATATATTCATTTTGAACACTTTATTTAGTGGCATCTTCTCTACATTTATAATTTTGTATCTTTCTACATGAAATTTCTTAGCCAATAATTTTGAGTTCGTCTTCTCAAGTGTGATCATTAGTTTCCTTCTCTTTGATTCCCCATGTCAATATAAGTATGATGTTTGTTAAAAAATGTGCTTTGAAATTTTACTCTGAGAATGTACATTGGAATCTCAATGTAACATAACTTATTAATAAGTGGAATTCTATTTAAGGTAAGCTGTCCTAGACTTCATCCGAGAGCATTAAAAGTTCTCTTACAATATGTATACCAATTGGAGTTATGTGAGATTTTTTAAGGAATTGTTAGTATGTCTTTTGTTATACTTTATGAAGCAGAGTAGTCAGTGAGAAAGAGCCTAGGATTAGAAATTTAGAGGCAAGCTTTTAACTTTTTTTATATGTCAATTTTTTCATCTTTAGGGAGTTATATCTTGATTATCTGCGTTTATGGAAGCGATTTGTTACTTCATCTCTGTATTACTACTTGGTTTAGAAATATATTGTGTGATTTGTGTTGCACCAGACTTGTGATGCTAATTGTCTATCTCAAGTTTAACTTTTAAGTTAGTTCATATTTATCTGAGCTTGTACCAAATGTCAGTGGAGACAGTTGACCTGGAAGCCTCCTTGTTGGCAAACCAACTTAGCGTTAAACACTGCTTGTGGATAAGTCTGAGAGTGACTATTGACGTGCACACAATTGGAAGTTGATTATACATGCATATGCCGAGCTTCTTGTAGAAAAATGTGATAATGTTTATCAAGGACTTGAGTATTCTGGAAAAAGGGTCTTTATTAACTAAACTTTGATGCTGCCACTGCAATATTTGTGGGTCACCTACTGAGTATTATCATTTTTCAGATAAGTGTTCATCTGATTAAGTGCCTTTACACTGTGCTTGTTTTGTTAAAAACCACACAAAGTTTATCAGTTAATTCCCTAGTTAAACTACCATTTACATTTTTCCCAGAGGATATTAAATCCAGTTTATTGAATATAAATGTAAAGTATTTTACCAGAATAAGAAAACAAGGTAAGGTAATTGCTGAAAGAATGAGTTAGAATCATTAATTTATTTTCCTGATTCAGATGAGTTAAAGTTGCTTTATATTAATTTATTATGGACATTTTATTTGAATGCATTTGCAAAACACAGAATTTAGTATAAGCAAGTGTCCAAGTCATAGCGGTTGTTTTAATAGTAGCCTAAACTTTGATTCTGAATTAAAACCTTGAAAATAAAGCATTCTAGTTTAAAGTGTTAAAGACATAAAAAGCTTTTCTTTTTTAACTTGTTCATAAAAGACCAACTTTGCTTAAGCTTTTATTAACCTGTTATGGGCTTTAAATTAATTTAAAATATGTAAATTATTTTCTTTGTAGTATCTTTTTAAAATCATGTACCTAGATAATTACCAGTAATTTAAAATGCATTGCATACTGTTGATATTTAAATATAGTTATGGAAATAGTTAAATTACAATCAGCTCTTGATTATTTATGCCAATGGTAGGAGAAATATAATAGCTATGGGAAAAACAGACATAATCAAATTTAATTTTAGATTTTGTATAAAAATTTTTGCAATAGATTTACCTTTATAAATAGAAAAATATAAAATTGTGAAATGTTTTGAGGATTGTGAGCTAAGTAGCAACTGGGGAAGGTCGTGTAGAAACATACCAGGAGGTGAGAGAAAACAAAACGGGGTTAAAAGTTTTCTGTTAATAAAGTGTATATATATTATTGAGAGCTGACTATAATGAGATTACCTTTGATGAATGAGTTTGGTATCTCACAATGTTTATTTAATGTATTTTATTTACTTCCCCTTAATTGAAAAATTATGATGTTTAGCTCTAAGTAACAGTTTTAAAATGTAACTAGGAAATAATAAATTGTGTCCTTTTTTTCTTTTTCTTTCATTTTTTCTCTCTCCTCCTCCCCCTTTCTCTCTCTCTTTTTTAGGGTATGAGTATTATAGAACAATTAGACCCTGTATCTTTTAGCAATTACTTGAAGAAATACCATAATACTATATGTGGAAGACATCCCATTGGGGTGTTATTAAATGTGAGTATCCTAAGGAAGCCTTGATTTTTAACATTCGATATTACAATGTTTCAAAAATATTTTAATTGTTATTATCTGTGATGCCTATTAGTGTTAGTTTTAGGTACATGTAGTCAATTTTCTTTCTAGTACCGTTAAGATAATTTTGATTTCCATTATTTTGGTTACTTGAATAAAGTTGTTTGTTACTAGAAGACAGGCCAATACATTGTTTTAAATGCAGAAAGTTACTTAGAACAGAAACCTATTTTTCTCTAGATTCTCAGTCAATTCCAATATGCTCTTTATAAATATAAACCAAAGTAACCTTTCAAGAGATATGTTCTTATTAATCCCTTGGTTTTATTTAGTAGACTCCAAACAATAAGTGGAAGATTTTGCTCTTGAACTTTAGATATTTATAAGTTAATAAAGCAAGACAGATAATATGTGTATGCTTTTCTCTTTACAAGAAACACAATAATGTTTATGTAAAGAATGGCAAGAGGCATAAGTTTTGGTTAGCTGGACTTTCAAGAGATAATAACATTAATTTTCCCCCTAACGGTATGGATTTCCTGAAAGAAAATACAAGCCTCTTTAAGAAAGGGGAAAGTATATACTCAGGAATAGGAGGAGAATGTAATAATGGGCTCATTGCAAAGGCAGAGAAATGATGGAGAAGGTACTATGGTCTAGAATAGTCTAGCGTAGGAACTTGAAGTCCAGTGTTAATTTAATGTGCTTTGAAAGACAGTACATTGTGGATATTTTGAAAGAGTTTTCTCTTAAGCAGTATTGATTGGCTGGAAGAAAAGCCTGTTAAGGGCTTAAAACTAATTTCTGAAATTTAAACTAGACTAAGCTATACTAATTTTCTAATGATTGAACTGGATCATAAAGTAAATGATGAACCTGTACACCATTAAAGTAAAAATCCTGGTGTCCCTCTTAGATCTGAAACCTAATTTATATACAAGTCAAATTTAACCAGTCAGACAGAAAATGGCAATGATAATAGAGAGAAAATGCTCTGAGTTTTGTTTGTTTTTGTTTCTAAAGTGGCCTTATTAATTACAGGGAGAGGTAGGGGTAAAAGATGCCTGATATTTATCGAGAAGCTATATTTAGGGAAAGTTCTGTGAGAGAATGAAATAAGGCATTCTCTTTTATTTTTATTTAACATGAGGTTACAAGAAATCCAAGAAACAAGTGACGAGAAGCGTGAAAGAGCGAGATCTAGGCTTCCACTGTGAAGTAGACAAAGTTAAGCCACCACCATATTTAAAGAGTGCTCATTTTTTTTATATGTCTGTCATAACCAGCTTTTTCTTCTTCTAGGCTATCACAGAGCTCCAGAAGAATGGAATGAATATGAGCTTTTCCTTTTTGAATTATGCCCAGTCAAGCCAGTGTAGAAACTGGCAAGACAGTTCAGTGAGTTATGCAGCTGGAGCACTCACGGTCCACTGACGCTCTGAGTCCTCAGGGATGCCATCTGCACATACCATACTCTGTTCGGGGTCCCAGCCCAGCCCTTACCAAGATGCTGGTCCTGGTTTGGGGGGATTCTGAAACCTCAAACTAATAGAACTTTCTTCTCTTCTTTTCTAGTAGGTGTAGTCCTTCCTTAATTTCAACTCATTACAAAATGCTTTATAGTTTAGGGCAGTGGAAGGAAGGCTGGCATCAAATATTTTGATCAAAAAAGATGGCAGTGTAAAGGCCCAGTGTGGCAGCTTTTTGAAAGTAACTTGTAAAGCATCTACCATCTCCTAAATTTGCACTCTTTGCAGACTTGTGCACATATATTCCGCTTTCAGAATAGTTTTGCAAATTGTACACAAACAAACAAAAAAAGGTGGAAGCTTTTTAATAAAGAAAATGCATTTATAAATGATCTGTATTAGAATATAATAAATCTCCAGTTATAGTCAATTACTACCCGTGTTGTACAACAGATACCTTCTATTTTAGTTGCTAATAAAGGGCTACACAACTCAAAATAGTCTGATTTAAACTTATTGCTCTGTGGTATATAAGAAAAATTTTTTTTTTTTATTAATTCCATCTCAGAATTTTTATGTTAAAAGTGGTAAACTTCAGCTCTTATATAAAAACATGTTAGGATGTATTTTATATTTTGCATATTTATGTGATTTTTTTATCACAGATATTAGAATCATATTTTAAAGTTAGCTTTTAAAATTACATACAGTTTGCCTTTTTGTGTGTGACATCACTTTGTGTCATTACTATATTGTATATTCGAGATTGGTAAAAGAACACAGATGTAGTCCTTTACTTCAAAGATTGTGTTTGATAGGCAGTAGTCTGCAAATGAGGAAACATTGAAGAGTGTTCTTGGAGTTTTTCAAATCATTGCAGACCATACACTGCTGCTATACTTTTTTAGTGCTTTAAGCAATTTGACTCTCTTACTTGAATTTTTAGCAAGAAATCATTAACGATACCAACAACAAAAAGCCACTGGATTTTCTTAACAGTTCTACAATTTTTTTTGTCATGATTTTTGGTGCGGCTCTTCCAACTAAAATAATGGTATGGTGTTGTATTTCTTTCTTTAGCATAGACCAATTTTAGTCATTTTGGGGAAAAATGTAATTCAATTAGTTAATTATTGGCCACCATGCATGTACTAGATTATACCTATTTTTAATCTAACACTGGGTATCTACATTACATTGGAGAGCGTTTATATCTTCAATGTTATGCCAGAATAGCACAATTTTTAGATGCCTTGCACCAATTTTATTTAAAGATTTGCATTTTTTATTACTAAATATCAACTTTCTATACTCAAGAATTAAGATAAAATAATGCTATCTTTTGGATTCAAAATTGCCCACTTATACATGTGTGGAAATGATACTCTTACATATTACTAATTTATTTCCCATCATTTAGATATACTTTTGAGTGCTATAAATATTTATTCCTTATTTATTATATAGACTATAAAAATTTCAAAATTGACTATAGAGTGAATTTTTAATGTTTTCTGAGTATAAAAACTAATACATGATTATTATGGAAAATTTAGAAAATACTGAAAAGTATAAAGAAGAGAAAAAAATTACCTTCAATCTCACTATCCAGAGATAACACTGTTAATATTTTTTGTATTTCCTTTCGGTCTTTGTCTATGCTATTTATATGTATGAGTGTGTACATGTGTTTGTGTGTATGCATAATAACAATATTGAGATTATACTGACCATATAGTTGTATACCCTACTTTTTATAACTTAACATCGTAAGTACTTCCCCATGTCTTTGAAAATGTGATTTTTTTATGGCTGCCTAATATTCTATTGTATGAATATACCATAATTGAACCCGTTTCTCTCTTTGGATATTAGATTGTTTCTAATATTTCACAATTATAAATAATAGTGGGATGGACATCTTTGTATGTGAAATTTGAACTCTATGTTAGACTAGTTCTTTAGACTATTATTCATGGGAATGGGATAATTGGTTTAGATGCTAAGAACTGTTCAGGCTTTTTAAAATATGGCCAAATGACCCTTCAGAAAGTTTGTGCCAAATTAGCAATATATGAGTACTCATCATACTATTCTTCCTCCACTATCGATTATGATTTTTTTCTAATCTTTGACAGTTTGTTAAGCAAATATTTGGTTGTTCTTTTGATTATTCTAATAAGAGTGGCTTTACAATGAATCTTTTTTTTCCTTCTGTAATTTTATAGTTGATGAATTAATAAAAAACACAAGTGGGTTGCCTAGGTTGAGTGGGCAGTAGCCTTATGAGTATGTTTACTATACATTTAAAATGCTAGAATATTTCAACATCACTCCACCCTTTCCTAGAATAGAAGCATCTTTCATACTCAGCTATTAAGTAGAAAGAGTTCCAAACTGATAGTTGAGTGTTGGGTTCTAGCTCTGCCTCTGCCACTAATTAATTCGCTCACTATAAATATTTCATGTTGTAGCAAAACTTTCTCATCTGTAAAATGTGGAGGTGATCTCTTAAGCACTTTCCAGTTTCAACCTACTTTAATGTTGTGACTTGACTCTTCAGAGATTTTGGTGTCACTTATATTAAAAAGATACATGATTGAATTAGATTAGAAATATTATCTTTTGATTTTAACTCCACATACATGTAAATGAAAGTTTTAACACAAAAAGAAAATTAATTTGCATTATTTAATGTGGTTGATATTACCTAAATTGTTGAACTTAAGCTTTCCTACTTTAAGTGCCTTTAAAAATGTTTTGTATTTGAAATCTAAAATGTAGAGGAAATTATTATGTAGTTCTCAACAATTTCCTCTTTATTTTTACTTTGAGTTATTTGCAGCAACTTTTTTTTTTAACCTTAGATTACACAGGTCAGTATATTCATAGATTCTTCACTATCCCACTAGTGAGTCCTTGAGAAATGTATGTTAAAGATTAGCTCACTGAGCAGGTAAGTAAGTGCTTCATCTTGGATGGGCAACACATCTTCATACAGAGTAGGATAAAGGACTATTCAGATATTCTAGTGTTTATATTTAGATATTTCAATATGGATGGTAGGCATCCTGAGTTTGTTAATGATTATTGTTGCAGATCTCAAATTGTTCTTTGGTAGCACATAGTTCATTACTCTAGATTAGATGTTGGCAAATGTTTGGGTGAAGGGCCACATAGTAAATATTTTGGGTTTTGCAGGTCAAACAGTCTCTGTTTCAGCTATTCGCTGTTGCTACTGTAGCACAAAAGCAGCCATAGACAATGTGTAAATGAGTGAATGTGGCTATGTTTCACTCAAACATGAGAAGACATTGAGCTGGATTTGATCCATGGGCGATAGTTTACTGTCTCCTGTCCTAGATGGTATAGTTCACTTGTAGTTCAAATTATTGGCTAGTAATTTAATTGCAACAAATGGTTGTAGCATCCCATCCCTCTCTTAGTTTGATGTAGTCTAGTTTGCTGAGTTTGAGTATTTTTAGGATTATAAAGGTAAGTGGGAAGTGGGTAAGGGAAACTAGGGACTCTTAGGAGCTTGTGTTAATTAAGAAGCACTTTTAAGCCCTTTTATTTGCTGGAGCTCATTGAGAGGTTTGCTTTGCTGCCATAAATTAATCAATTATATAAATTATTCTAAGCACTTGGCTACCTAGATGGTAGTAGAGAATGAATCAGATGAACCTTTTTACCTGAGTATTTTAGAACACTAGACCAATAATTTAAGAGAGATTGTGAAATGTGAGATTTTATTTTGTCATGTAAAGACTTAGAAAAATAACTACCATTTTCCATCACCATCACTTCATTTATCCCACCCCCTAATGTTTAGGAAGAATATAAACTCAGAATAAAAGAGTTATTTAATGTGAATAATTTTAAGTTGGCGGAAAAATTACTACACTGTTCTTTTTTCATTTACTCTAAGTCACTGAAAACTTTATCAGGTAGTATGAGTCCATAGACTGGCAGTTGGGAAGTGCTATGATGTAGTTGTTGAAAGACCTAATGTTATAAAACTGTTATTGATTAGGAGATGTAGTAAACCATATGCACTCTGATATTCAAACTAAAATTTTTATTGTGTTAAATTGTAAGTGCCACATAATTAAGAGGGACATTATGAACTATAGTGTTGTTAGGGAGGCAACCTTCGGAATGCTGAAAAGGCCTGAGTACTGTGGAAAGTGATTGCAGTTAAAGTAATTGGTGATATTTATTTTGGACAAGTTTAAGAAGAGGGAGTTTTCTTCAAATAGTTGAGTGACTGCTATGCGTAAAAAGGAATCAAATTATTCTCTGTTCTAGATAGAAAAATTAATTGTAAGAAATGGAAGTTTCTGATTCCACATTTAATGTGCTGTATGAGAATATCTAAGTGAAAATCGATCTGTCATAAAATCATTGCAAGTATTCAAACAAAGCTAGATCAGTGGTTCTAAAGTAGGATCCCTGACCTATCAGCATCCGCATCACTTGGGTATATTAGTGGTGTAGATCTAAAATTATAGATCACCAAGCTGAAAAAATGCTATTGGAATTAGTACATGTAAAATTAAACTTATTTGTATAAAACTTTTCAGGGAAGACATTTTTAAGTAGAAATTGATTTTGATTATTTAACACTAACTTCAACACAGATTATAAATTGATAAAATGATTGTTACTTAATTATTAGTGGTGGAACACTGGACCCTTATAATAATTAATATACTTTTTTGTTTTAGTTATAACATTTAAATATAAGGTAAAGTTCTACCATTTACTAAAATAAATTTAACTTTGAATAAGTGACATTCTTAAACAGAGATGCTTCTTGAATCTAAAACAGCCATATCAGTAGCAGAAAAGGGTATTGAAGGAGCTTTCTCTTTTTTATACTTGTTAGTGTCAAAATAGTCAAAGAGGAACCAGGAGCAGCTGGCAGATAAGTTTTTTCTGCATTCCTCCTCTTCCCCTATCCTGTAAATAGAACTGAGTGGCATGTCACGTATCATCATTGACCATGCTACACATTTGGTAAAATTACCCTCAACTAATGCTGATAACTGGGACCTCTGCCGTTTAAAACTCACTGTTGTGGATGGATTTTGTTTGCCTATCATGAGTTCATTGATATATTCTGCTTGTTGGGTACTATGCGAAGAACTTTAGGGTTTTAGATCTGTCATTTGTTCAGGGTTCTGCAGTGATCCCGGAGTGGTTTGTACTCAGGATGTATTACATTGTGTGTGTGTGTGTGTGTGTGTGTGTGTGTGTGTGTGTGTGTGTGTGTGTGTGTGTGTGTGTGTGTGTTTAATTCTAATGCAAGGTTTTGGCCAATCCTATAAAAATAATGGAAAAAAATTTAAAAATTCTCCTGATTTTGAAAGCCATAATGTAATACAATTGGTTTTTCATATAAATTGTAAATTATGTTCAAAAACATACTTAATACTGTAAAGTGAGGTTTGTAACTTTACTAGATGTAGTGACTTTTTTCTGTCATCCTAACAATGAAACCAAAGAGAATATAAATACCATTATTGAGAAGCTATTGAAGGCCAAGTGTATTTGACTATGAACAAGACCTGCGTTCTGGTCTTCAAATCTGCCAATGTAAACTTTTGGAAAATATTTTAATTTTTCTGCTGACTATGATACTCTGAATTACTTACTGAATGTGATGTTATATACATTTAAGTGAAAAGTATTAAAAAGATGAAAACTAAAAAATTAGAATGATATGTGAATGACAGACTGAGTTTGTGAATTTTTAAAATTAAATACTTAGACTGTTGAACTAGATTTAATAAAAATATTTTTAACTTAATTTTATAAATGGAAATTTTTTTCTAAGTTTTTTTTCCATTTAAAGTTTATTCATTTGAATCTAGCATAGCACATAATACACATTTACTTGGTGTTTAATTTTGATGAATTTTAAAGTAAGGAGAACAAAAGGCAATCTTCATATGAACTGTTTTCTAAAGGACAGGAAAACAAACCTTTTAATTGGAAGCACTTTTTAAATTGATTTTTTTCCATTTTCAGTTTTTAATTGTAGAAATCAGCTTCCTTACTAATTTTAAAAGATGGTAGAACTTAATATTCCTAGGCTCTGTGTAATGCCAAATGAAATGAATGGTAATGTGAGTGATGTGGTAAATTTGAAGCCATTGGCCCACTATTCTTAGCTCATATTTTGCAATATCCTGTGGTGTTTACTGTTATTTAAAAGTGTTGCAAAATTTTTAAAACAGTTAATTAAAATGTTCTTTAGTTGCTTACCCAATGACATGTCCCAGCAACTCTCAAGTAGAAAGATACTGTGGAGTGCTAGAAGCTTTGCACTGAAATCCATTGTCAGGTATCAGGTTTGTTCCAATGAATTGCTACTGATTTGCTGGAACAAATCACTGCTGTTTTCTAGAGCAGAGTTTATTACTTTATTAACATGGGTTAGAACTGAATAATAGGACCCCTAAGGGCCTTTCTACCTTTGACTTTTTATGACAATAATAAAAATACCCTATTATTTAATATATTAAATAATTGTACTTTTAATTTTTAAAACATTTTACAACTTTTTCTTTTGTCTTAATATATACAATAAGTAGGCCAGACATTATCACCTTATTTTTACTGATAGAGAACCTAAGGCCCATACAAATAACATGACTTATAAAAGTTTACATGCTAGTTAGTTTCAGAGCTAGGCCAACAATTAAACTCTTCTAATTCTCAGTCCTTACGAATTCAGTGTTACAAATACTATACCATATTATTCTGTGTTTTATTTTTCATGCTGCCTGTTTAAGATTGAATTCAAATAATGGGTTTTTGCAACTTCAATAAAAATGGGAATTGTTCATATAAATGTCTATTTTGATTAATTCAGGCAAAAATAGGTTTCTTTTGGTGGATTAAAATATTTCTAATGACGCTGCAGACTTCTCTTTTCTTTGCTGGGAGGTTTACTGTTAGACCTCAAAATTCTATACTATTACTTGTATCATTAAAATGCACTACTTCTTTGTAATGGGACAGTGACAAAAATGAAATTTAAGTTATTTTGTATGTGAGGCTACTGACGGTGAGACTTTACAGCAGACGCTTGATTCACCATTTCAGTTCATGCATAAAGTGTCCTACAAGCACCTACGAGTCTGCCTTGGATTTTTTCGCCTGCACACAGGGCAGAGTGGAAGTGCTAGAAAGATAATGTCCTGGGAGCCAGCCATCAGCCAGTGATGGATGGGAATTGGAGGATAATAATTCCAGCTTCCTTGCACTACTGGTGCTACTCTGAGGCATGTTTCACATTCTATCCTCAAGTTTCCAGTGGGACTGAGCCTCATTGCCCACAGCAGGAAACTCTTAAATATGTATCCTTAATTTTCTTCCTCTTCTCTGTCTCACTTCCCATTCCTTTATTATGTTTCCTGGGATTACATCCCAGATGAGCTTCTTGTCTTTGAATACGTGTCTCAGAGTCTGTTTGTGCGGTAAACTTAAAAATGTTTGGCTTGGGAAATAAATCATTACTAGTGTTCTTGTTAGAGGTGAAAGATTTTTTTTTAAAGAGTTATTTTGGAAAAGATCTAAAGTATCTTAATATTGTGACTATTTTAGTTTGTCTCAATCACATCCATGTTCAATTTAATTTTCTTCTCTTCATTTCATAACAAAGATTCAAAGTAAAAAGTCTTAGGTAGAAATTCAAGGTAAATATCTATATGAAAATATTTCTACCGTACTTAGTTTCTTACAAATAAAATTATAGGCTGATTATCCAAATGACTTAAGAAGGACACAATGGGTATTTTGAAAGAAATTAAATTAAGACAATTTATTTCAACCAAAATTATAGATTACTTTCTAATTGAGTCCAACTTTCTCATTTCATACTAGATCTGCTTATTCATAATCAGGGACCAGGATTAGGCTTGCCTAACATTGACTGTAAGGATAAATTTACTTCCTGGATAATTTCCCCAAAGATGATTCTGTGATCCTTTTTGTGATCTTATTAAGGATTAAGGACTATGGAGTTCATAAACTGAATAAGCTCTATGTTAAATTGAGTGCATTATAAGTGCATCTTTTATAATTCTTGGATATCTTGAATTAGAAATACTGGTTTTTGTATATATTTTTAAACTGATGTGGGAAATTTGTATTCATTTTAGGCTCATATCAGTTATCAGTCTTCTCCTTTCTTCCCCATGTAAAAATTGTGATTTATGTGTCTCAGGTGTATCCTCTGTTGATGAGGTTAATGAGATGGAACATAGATGAATTTAAGCAAGTTTGTAGTTCAATTTATAGGGCCACTCTAAGGTTACCATACACAAATATTTTTCCACAGGAAAAACAATATTTAAAGAATATATTTTAATTAGTTATCCTGATTGTAAAGTAACATCTTTAAACATCTCTATTTTTTTAAGCAAAAATACCAAAGAGCATATACAGTGTGTTTCTCCCAGTGTAGTTGCCTCCTGGTACCTTCAGATTCTGCCATGTTCTTTGAGTATGTGGCAGGACATTTATTGATGTTTGAGGTTGTATTTGTCTGTTAGAAATGGTCAAAGGTCAGCTGGGTGATTAGATGGGGTAATATGGTTTAAGGGGGTAAAATTAGATTGGATAATATGGTTTAAGGGTAAAATACATTACTTATAAAGGAATAAGTCTGCCTTTCTCCTGAGAAACATCAAACAGCTCAAATTTCCCTAAAATCTCCACAGTGGTACATTGGAATAAGCGTATAGTCTTAAAATAACTTTTTGTTTGTAAATACAAGTTAAGTTACTTCAAAAAAATTAATCTTGTTTCTTTTTAGACATATTACATGTAAACAACTGCCTAATTTATTACTAAGTCCAGTCCAGGCTTTTGGCATTTCAAATATCTCAATACGGTAAATTGAAAATCTGGTGTAAGAACCTGAGATGCTTTTTAAAATGTGTCAAGAAAGCTGGCCCGTTTGCTGAACACTAAATACTTTTTAAGGAATGTTAGATAAAGTGATTAAAAATGAGAAATACCTTCTAAAAATCTTTACTGGAAGCTGACTTCTTGTGTTATATGTGAACAATCTCATGATAACTTGATGTAAAACAAGCTTGAAAAATTGTTTCCTTAAAAGTTTACATATTTTTCATCACCAGTAGACCACTTATGCAATAATACGTGCCTGGAGTATTGAAGTACAACCTAGCCTTCTTAACATTTAAAAAATGCCTCCTGCCTTCCATTAATATTAAGTACTTGTATTCGACAATGTTGTATTTCTGGATGTTTGTTAATTTGATGGATCTTACAGGATTAGTCTACTCCTAAAAGTTCTTGGGTACAGTTGTTAAAGAAAATTAACTTGGATGAAACAATGATGCATGTTTTAATAATTTAAGTATTTTTCAAATATCTATTTTAAAAAGCAGATCTTTGTAATTGCCACAGATAATTTCATAATTTCTGGTTCTCATAATTGTTTTTGTGTTAGGAAAATACTATACCTTACAGTACCTGATTTGCATTTTTTGCTGTTTTAAAAATCTTCACATTTGTTATCTTCTAACAAAAGTAATTTTAAACTGAATGTTTACATTGTTGAATGGGGAAAGTTCAACCAGTTATTCTAAACAGGCTGAAATTTAGGCATGGTGTTTTGCATGGAGTTTGTGATTGAATATCTGAAGGATATCCATTTTCACTCAGGTACAGGAGAGTTAATAATAGATTCAAAATTGTTTGATTGTAATTTACACATTAAGTATAATGGAGAGATTTTGCATTAACAAGTTTTATTTTTTCATATTTATGCTTATTTCTTAAATGGAGATTTAAATAATTTTTAGATAATAGAAATGTATGTAAATATGTAATATTTAAATCATTACTAGCTTATTACTTGAAAGGAACTTTGATTCATTGCATGATAACAGCTTTTATATGCTACAACTACATGTTCCTTTGTCTTTCCTTGAAATTTTACCTCTAAGTGAGAAGATGTCTATCCATAATAGCTTCAGGTTTCTGTGACCAACTCATATGATTGAAGTTACTTCTGCTATAAAATGGCTTACAAAATATTTGTTAACAAAAATTTTACAGTAATTTCAATACGACATGGTAACAAAAAACTTTTTAGTTAGAATCTTTAGTTTTCCTTTTTCTACCCTATTGTTTCCCACTCCCCCTAGGAAAACTAGATATTTGTAAATGGAATTATGTTCACTGAATTTTAGTCTTTCTGCCCAAGATAAGCAGTTCTGTGATAAGGAGATATAATTTACCTCCCACTTTTATAAGAGAGCTTACAGCACTTACTATTCTTAAAGAATAAACCTTTACCAAGTTTTGTACTCATTTACAGATCTAGGAATACAGTAAAATAAGTAACATTGTGTAGCAAAATACTGAGATTTTTGAGCTTGGGGATTTCGTCATGTTCAGTGAAGAACAACATCTTTCAAAGGAAGATAACGAGGTTTATAAATATAAAATATAAGACAAAAACGAATATGAATACACAAAATACTTTTTAAAATTTAAACTGTTGAAGACAAATTGGTTATTCAGGAAAAGATACTGTGTTTTAATTATCGTCTATGTATTTGAGAACTAAAGCAGTAAATGCCAAGATTTATCTGTCTCGCCCCTGTTTTAGTTAATTGACACAGGTAGTCATATATAATAGTAATGCTTATTATCTCCTAACATTTAAAAAGACATTTTCTCTAAGAGAAAAGATACTGATATGAAGAGAAAAGACATTGATCTGTGTCCATCTTCCTTTTCTTTTCATTGTATTTTTACCCTGTA